GAGGAAGTACTCAATAAATACTTATTGAATTGAAGGATGAATGAATAAATCTCTAAAGTTTTGGAAAATATCAGTAGAAAAAAATATGACAGAATAACTAAGTAAATGAAGATAACGTTTTAAGTCATGTTTTGTTTGTTTTTTGGTATTAACCAAAATTTAAGATAAACATTTATACTCAACATTTTTTTAAAACAAAATCTTGGGAAACAGTGAATCCAAAATATTATCTGCATTGCGTATCACATATTTAGGATAATGTTATTTGAAGAGCCAAACCATTCAACTGAATTCATCTGAGTTAAAGGCTGAAAATTATACCTGAGATGAAGAAGCAAAAGGGAGTAGTGGAGGAGAAACCTACAGGTTTAGGAGCAGAAAATTTTTCCATAGGATACCAAGTCATTCTTTAATAGCTATGATACCTTGGGCAAAGCATTTCACCTCTCTGTGACTATTTTCTTCCCTGTAAATTGGAAAAAAAAAATGCCTGTGTCACAGGGGTCTTGGGAAGATTAAATGAAGTAATGGACACGGGCACCTTGTTCAAGTTCCTGACCCAGAGTAAGCACCAGAGCATGTAAACTCCTCTTCCCTTTTATTATACCTGGTTAGATAAGAGTTAAAATGTATTTTAACAGTCTTGTTACAAAAAGCAAGGAAAAATACTCTTTAATGCCACAACTATGTGTCATCCTTGTCGAGGAGCATAAATTTGCACAGCGGGCAGTGCAGTGAAAACAGCTCATCATCACCTCTCATCATTGCTAGGATCAAATGCAAATGGGAAACAATGCCACTTCAGTCATTGCTAGTGAAAATTAGCATCTGTGACACTAATGGTGTCTCATTTAGTATGCACTTTAGATTAAAAAGAATGGTTTGAAAAAGAAAAAAAAGAAGCTATTTCCAGAACTGCCATCATTTCAATGCTTCCCTTTAAAAAAAACAGTGGGATTTGAATCTCCTGTATTCAAAGATAAACCTCAGTTAAAATTCGTTAACACAGATCATTAATCCTAGCCAAGTAAAGGCCAAGTTGCTCTAATTGTAGTAGCCAAGTTTCATTTGTGGGGTGCATTTTTTTTTTCCTATTTTCAAAGTTTCTACCCAATCCCCTAAACTGGAGCATAGGTCTTCTATTGTATAATGATGGGCCTCTCCAGAGATTCTTGTACAACATTTACTGTACTGGGTCTCTTCTTAAAATAAAACTTAAAAATGAATTCCAGTTGTATGTACACACACACAAACTGTCTTACATACACCGTAACAGACTTGCTAACAAGAATAATGAAATTATATAGTGTTGGTGAGTATTTATACTGGAATCAGACTACACAGAGTAGGCTCAAGAAAGTTCATTCACTTGACAAATACTTATTAAGAGCCTATCATTGTTGTGGTTAGTTGCCCTCGAGTTGATTCTGACTCATGAAGACCCCATGTGTGCAAAGTAGAACTGCTCCATAGAGTTTTCAAGGCTGACCTCTTGGAAGCAGATCGCCAGGCCGGTCTCATGTGTGTGTTTGAACTGCCAACCTTTCAGCTAGTAGTCCGTCACTTAACGGTTTGTGCCACCCTCCTGCCTACTACACTGAATGTGACATGCAAGGTGAAGAGAGAGATATGTGGTTACATTTACCTCCATATTAGGACATGATTTTTTTTTTTTTTGGACAATTTAAACATTGGAATATTAAGAAAGTTTTGTTTTGTTCCTGTTTTACAATTTTCAGTGTTGAAGCTAGGTAGATACCTGGAAGAATTTTGTAGATGGGATTTCTGCATTTAGTAAGAGAGAGGAAAAGAGAAACCCTCAACTCCTGTCCAACTTACAGAAGCTATAATCCTCTTGTACTTAAAGTTAGGGTCTTCCTGGTCTCCATAAAATTTAACTGTGACTTAAGATGTAAATAGTAATAATATCTCACAGTCCCATCGCTTATAATGTCAGTGTGGTAATTAACAACATGGGTAGCAGAAACTGACATGTGTATTTCACATCACAAAGTTTTATTATTACTCTATGTCTTTGCTCAAGTTAATTAATCTTCTCTATGCCTTAGCTTCCTCATCTGTAAAATGAGGCTAAATAAAAATGCTTCTCTCACAATTTACAAATATTAATCTACAAAAGGCTCTTAACACAGCAATTGGTATGTAATAAACAGAAATAATAAATGTAGAAGTAAATATAGATAAGTATAGAAATTAATATTGATAGAAAATAAAAATAAACTCAAGTGAAATTTTTTAGGAAAAAGTTCTTGTGTTCTATAATTCAAGCAGTTATGGAGTATGGAGTATTTCTGGTCTCGCCCTCTCAACCTCTCCTATAAATCACTTATAATAAATTTGAATACTATTACTCTTATTTTTAAGCTATTAGAAAGAAAGAACCCATATCCAAAATAGATAAACAGAGAAATAAAGGGTGAAAAAAGAGGGTACATTAAGGATAAAATCACAGATGGTAAAGCTATACTTGAACGTGTTTTGGGCTGATGTACATGCTTATTGATAAGACTTGTGAAGGTAAGAAAATAATAAATTATTTTGGATATGGGACTCTTATATAATCTATTACTACATTTTATATCTACCAATGTTTTCAACCTTCTCACGGCTGCATGACCTATTTGAAAATACTAATGACAAGGTCTTTCTCCACTGATTTCCTTTTCAAATTAGCAATCTCATACTTTTCCCTCAGGGTAACATTAGGTATACTATGCATTCAGCATTTGAATCAAGTACTAAGCTGCCTGAAATATACACCATGGGAATTAATATGGGCTTGGATTAAATAATATTTTCCTCACTTTTAATGTCGTCACTCTTTAGCTACTTCAGCATTTGCAATCAAAAACAAGGAATTCCCTCTCAGAACTTTTGGAAGAGGGCGTGTTTCTGGATCAAGAGACATGCGCTATCATGTAGTTAATTTGTGTAGACAATGAGTCCCTATACTTGATGGTTCTATTCTACCTTTCTAGACAGAGGCCTGATGTTTCTTTGCAGCAGAAAAAGGGGCTCACACTCCTCATTCTAGTAGTGATTTATTTGTAGGAATATTGCTATAATGTCTGTCTTTGCCATCCCTTTTGGGTTCCACTTTTTTGCCATAAAATATGCAAAATCTTTTGTGATTTTTTTCTACATTAGAAAATTAACCAGTCAAATGGAGTTGTGTCTAAAGATGTTATTATACTAATTGGAGAAATATCACAACCATATTAAAAGGAAATGATCCAATTGATCTGAATAGATAAAAGCTGCACTCACGCATATACATGCGCATATCTCTTTAAATTTGTATAGAATGAAACCAGTCACCTAAAGAAGATGGGAATTCATTCACAACAAAAATTCATGTATTTCCAGTGTGATTATTTTCTGTAATATATCCCAGGTGTACATTTTATCAAATATATTTTTAATTTTATGAATAACGTACAGTCAATAAGATGAACAATATCTCATTTATTTTACAATAGTTTCTTCTGTTAAGCCAAATGATGATGACAGACTAACATATCATTTTGAAAACAGTTCAATGACATAAGTGTAATAGTAACTCACTACATCTTGCAGTCTTTTTTACATTTATATTTTAAATACTTAAGGAAATCTATTACTTCATATTAACTTTTGTGGTTTTGATAAATATGGGTTGCATTTAATCAAGTAAATTTTATGTAAAATTAATCTTAAATAGAAATATAAGTGATGTTTTAAAAAACTTTTTATATTCCTTGGAAACTGTTTTCTTGTATTATCATTATACTAAGCAAAGGACAGAAATCCTGATATTGGTGTTGGTATGCTATCAAGCTATGGTTTAGCTAAAGATGCTTATATAACCTTTATAAGATTTCTGTGAGAGCAATAATTAATAAATGAAATCATTTATTCTTAATTTCCTTCAAAGAAGTTACAAAGTAACTTACATCCAAATATCTGCAAAATATTGATCACTGTTCAATACCGCATGAATCCAAAAGTTCACAATCAATTACCCACTCTTTCTCTCAGAACAGGTGCCAAGCAAATAAAGACGATTAATAGATACTAAATTAATCTTTTAAAAAGACATCTGGACTCAGCTATTGTCTATTCACAAATAGATTGCAAATGTTGTTTATCTAAGAAACTAAGAAACGTACAATTATTAGGGAAATTTTGTTACCCCAGGATTTCACAAATTGTTTATGTTATTAATAAATCTAACTTAGAGTTCCATGGCCAGATCTAAACTTTGTTATCCCACGTTCTACTTTTTCTTTAAGTGGCAATTGCTGATGAGACAAAGAATACCATAACATTCCAAATAGAATCAATTCAACAAATCCATGATGAATTTATGGGATTTTGATGCTGCCCAAACACAACTCAATCTTCTCTCTAGTGATGTCATTAGTTCATGAGCAAGAGTAAGAAAAATACATCTCTGAAACAAGCTATCATATTTTAACTTTCAAAAATGAAAAATGTCATATTTTGAATGAATATCTCCATTTTATATTTTTCTCATAATTAATGATTAAGAGATAAAATGATTAAGAGATAAAATGCATTCGATAGACTTTTAAATAGACATTGACTACCTCATAGTCATTAAAATGTGCAAGGAGATTTCATAATATCAACCTCTCAACAGAGACCATCAAACTGACTCCCATGAAGTAGATGATCTGAACTCAAATCTCAGTTACACGTGTAAATGGTAACATCTATCTTTGCCATCCTTGTGGATTCTGCTTTTTTATTTTTGCCATAAGTATAAATAACTGGTATGCAATACCAGATTTTTCTTGCAGTATAAAACAAAATACATACACACACATATACATATACATACATATATACATATACATATATGTGTATACATACATATAGATACATATATGTGTATATATATATATACTCACACACATACACACAGCTGTTCTATTAAATAGTTTTGCTTTGTTTGACTATGTATAAAATCACCTTACCTTTGGTTTTTGATGTTTCTCTTTCTCTGAAGCATTGGATGGTTTTCTCTTCAGCATTTTGAATTTTGACTATTCCCAGAGTGAGTGCACTTTCTATTGTTACAGAAGCAAACTGGAAATAGCCAAGAGTGTGCTGTCGATGACACACAGCATCAGATAAGTTTGAGCCCGGTAAACTCCACTTCCTCTTTGGTAAGGATATGACTTCAACATCTACAGTGTTTTTTTTTTTCCTAACCGTAACTGTTTGGTAACTCTTTATTGCCCTGCTCCTGCTGTATTGTGTGAGGTGGGTTCTCAAATTGCACACTTCAACATGCCTGTCGTTATCAAAGCGCCATAACGATTTCAAAACAAAACTTGCTCTTTCAGTTTATATAAAAATAAAAATCAGCACATTCTATGGGTAGAGGGAAGAAAGAACTTGGGCCAATAAATGAAATAAAACTAGAGATGTGGGCATTTTAGTATTAAAAACCAAAGCAAAAATATTAAGAAAATACTCAGAGTAATCAATTTTACATTTCTAAGTAACATCTACATAACTCAGAAGATGAAATAAACTAGACTTTAAACAATACTACCAGGCAAAGAATATTGAATATACCATGGACTGCCAGAAGAATGAATAAATCTGTCTTGGAAGAAGAACAGTCAGAATGCTCCTTAGAAGCGAGGATGGTGAGACTTCATCTCACGTACTTTGGACACGTCATCAGGAGAGATCAGTCCCTGGAGGAGGACATCGTGCTTGGTAAAGTAGAGGGTCAGTGAAAGAGACAAAGACCCTGGACCTAATGCACTGCCACAGTGGCTGTAACAATGGGCTCAAACGGAGCAATGATTGTGAAGACCAGACAACATTTCGTTCTGTTATACATGGAGTCACTATGAGTTGAAACTGACTCGACAGCACCTGACAACAACAACAACAGTCGCTGTAGAGGTGATTCTGACTCGTGGAGACCCCATGTATTTCAGAGTAGAACTGTCCTCCATAGAGTTTTCATGACTGTGAACTTTCAGAAATAGATCACCAAGCCTTCCTTCTGAGGTGCCTCTGGGTGAGTTTGAACCACCAACCCTTGGTTAGTAGCCCAGTACTTAAACATTTGTGCCACCCTGAGATTCCTAAACATTACCAATCCTATTTAAAGCATGTATTTATATACTTTTAAAACAGAGTATGAATGAACTTCATGCTAAATAAATATCAGAATGTTCCTCCAGAAGTAAATGCGTATGTATATTAAGCAACTTTTAAAATACATGACTGAATTTTAAAACCCTGACTAGTACGGACACCAGCTAAACAGAATCCTCAATTAACCAGATGCCTTCCTGTTACAAACTAAAATGCCATATACTAGTATCTCCTGCTCCAATGAGGGTCCAATGGATCAGTGTGGTGCCTTCAAAGGAACCATCTACAGTCTCTATTTAGAAGGACTGGAAGACATCTACGATGGCTTAAGAAGACTTCCCTTATCAGACTAAAGATTTAAAATTTTTTATCATAATGTCAAAACCCAAAATACCCAGAAAGTAAAGGCAGTAAGATTGAACTTTCCAGTTATATGGGGATTTACCAAAGGGAGACTCAGAACGTCTGAAACTCTCTTGTTCCATTAAAACAGGCTTGTTAAAGAAATAAACCTGGATTTGTTTATAAAACCCCTGGGTTGAAAACCAGTGGTGCCATATTCATAATCAGCAGCTTCTATAGGTGACAAATCAACAGACTATTTCTCAATCATCCCTCCCACCTCTAAGCCCCTCCTCCCTGATGGCCAGTTGCAGTGTTGAACTTTCACTGTTTTATTTAACAAATACTAAATTGAGTGTCTGCTTCGTGCTAGGCACTCAGAAATTTGTCAACACATCAAGCATTTTGAGAAGTTAAAAAATGTATAATAGAATTGAAGGAACACACTTGTGAAGGTACAATTAGTGCCTTTTCCTCACCAAATCTTAAAAACAGAATTACATTTTCAGAAATTATTAGACTTACGTTTTCAAAATACTGATACAGATGATAACACTAGAAAAGCTGAGGACTCTGAGGTTGGGCAATTCCCTCCAAGTATGCCTTCTTTAAAACTTTCTGTTTAGGGTTTGATAGAACAGTGGCTGAAGCAAAAATTTTGTTTCATTTCTTCCAAAGTTGAAAGTCACGAAAGTCTGTGTTTCTTAACCACATCATATACTCCCTCTCAGATTCCATTTCTTTTTCTGTGAATAGAAATTTAATTCAACTGAGGTGTTCAGTCAATAAAATGGGAATAATAATATTTGCCCTTACTATACCATGTTGGTTTGGGGGAGGGGGTAAAAAAGGAATTTCATTAAAAGATCTACTTGTTACAGTATTATATGACTTATCATCTAAGTAGTGTTTTATGTCAAAAAGATGTTTGTAAATCCTAAAAAAGCATGAGATTTCAACAAGTTCTGTTTGGATGGTATTTGCTCTATTTTATATTTTACAATCATAACTAAACAATAGGGTTTACTTCTCTTCATGGTGACCATAGTTAGACTAGATGTGGTTTTAAAAAGTGTTATACTAAAGCAGTTTGCATAAAATATCAACTTATAGTCTCTACGCATTTTATCATCATTCATACTATCAGGAATATTAACAATGTAAATAAAACTATAGTCTTTTCCTTCAAAATTAAGGACGGGAGAAGCAATTTTCCAATCTGCTTGTATACCCAAGAAAAATGATTTCTGAATATTAAAAGACAACTATGACATCTGATGCCCTGTTACAATCTAACCATGTTAAACTCCTTGATCCTCAGAAATCTTCAGGTGACAATGTGGCAAATGTTATTAACAATCATCTACTGATTTTGGAATTCCGGGGACACCAAGGTATTTAATGAGTGACTCAGAGTGAGACATAAAGTTGAAAAGTCAAAAGTAGACAAAACAGGGACAGGGTGCAGGGTCAGTATTGAGCAAACGTATCATGATTAAACCACTAGGCTGCATGTTGCTTAAGACACGTTCTGAAACAGGGAAATTGCAAAAGAGCAAAGTCTCAGTGCTTTGTTTCCGCACATTACCTTGATAGTCTTATAGCACAGGGTGAAACAAGGTTGGGAAGTTGTGGCATATATATTGGTTACTCTTTCTGCGTCATAGTGAGTCAAAATTTTAAAGAGATTGTAATCAAATGACAAATATTGGGGTGTAATTTATGGGAAAGTAAGGTGAACCATAAAAGTGTTGTTTAACACAGTAATCTAATCCAACAAATGTTTGGTCCAAGTCTAAATCATAGGAGTCAAAAAAGTATAGCTAATGGGATCTGGTGACTTTGATTCTGAGATCTTGACTGACTGATGACCTCCATCTACATCTCTCTGCTTCCCAACATCAAGTTGACTCACATTTGGAAAGGTCGAATGTCAAGAATAAAATTAGATTGTAATGTTTGGATCAATTGTAGTCTACAATTTAGTTTAAGACATCTATATTCAATGGATGAATGATTTTTAAATCAAATCTTTTAGAATGGGACTAGGATACCCTCACTGCCCTATTCTTTATGCCTGCTCTAACATGTGGACTTAGTCACAGTAAATCTTATGCCCCTGTGTATTGCTGGGGCAACTATGACCAAGAGCTCTTTTAGTAGCTATAATCTAAAATACTTCTGATTATATCTCAAATGAATTGTTGGAGGAGGGAAACATAGAGACATCTTTCAAGAAACAAGGGAAATTAAGACTATATCAAAGTCTAACTCAAAAATGAATATTTATTATAAAACAATGGGCTCAAACATAGCAAAGATAGTGAGAATGGCACAGGACCAGGCAGCACCTAATAATAATAATAAAACAATAATCTCATATAACAAGAATGGATAGCATTCCATGCAGATCTGCAAAGTTTAGCCACCCATGATACAAAAAGAAGGAGTCCATCATAAAAGCAACTTAACCTTGGTAGTTTCTCTCTCTCTCACACACGGAGCGGCCATCTCTCTACAGTATGGGGAAGGGCGATTTTTAGAAAGAACTCCAGTGGAGGTGTTGTGTTCCTACCTCCTTATGGCTTGATGGAAATGGAGATCCTACACTCTCCCTCCAAATCCTATCTCTACACAGGATTTCCAGAAGCAAATATTCACTGGGCTCTGATGCAGTTCTATGCAGTTCAATACTCATGAATTCAGATGATGGTTTAAAATTTGTATGGAATCATAGGGGGAATTGATTATTGTGCTCTCCTCTAGCCATCTTGTTTATTCTTACCTTATGATGGAAAATATACCTTACTGTTTAGATTTGGGAGTTACAGAGGAAGTAAGTGCAGGATAGATACTCCCTCAGGCCTGTGATGGGATTTAAGGAGGTGAGGTGGGGGGAGGCTTCTGTGTGGACCTTTACACTTCCTAGTTTTCTGAAGTGATTTACCGATCCCATCTCTGGAGTCTCTACTTACTAATCCTTACCCACTCTCTTTCCTAGGTCATTCAAGTCCCTTCTAATGTCTTACAGATTAAATAGCCTTAAAAAAAAAAAAAAAAAACCATTGCCATCCAGTCGATTCTGACTCATAGCGACCCTATAGGACAGAGTAGAACTGCCCATAGGGTTTCCAAGAAGCAGCTGGTGAATTTGAACTGCCAACCTTCTGGTTAGCAGCTGAGCTCTTAACCATTGACCACCAGGGCTCCTAATAGCCTTAGACAGTGGTGTTTTTGCTTTGGCCAGTACACTGCTCTAGGACAGAGATGATCTCAAGTTTTGAGGAGACAATTGGAGGAAGAGGAAATCTGATCCTACCATTAGAGAACAGAAAGAAGATGGGAGCTGTTGAGGTTTGTTTTTCCCAGCAAGGCCTGAAACTAAGCATATATATCACAATGATTCATTTTCTTCCAAGAACCTGTATCAAGTCTATGTGAGAAATTAGTACTTCTTTTATTAATTTCTCCTTGAGATATGGAATACTCTATGGTTTCTTTACAGGGTTCTCATGTATTCACTAACAATGAAGAAAGTGATGCCCAAACACTTCTCCTAGATGTTTAGGAAGATAGAGGAAGAATCTTAACTCACTTTGCCTAACATAGAAAAAGGAAAGTAACAGAGGCAAATAATTGGTAGAATCTATTTAAGCTGTTGCATTCAAGAAAGAGAGAGGCCCAGTAAACT